GAGGCAGGGCAAGCCCACACTGTCTGTAAGAAGCTGGGTGAGCGCTGGCAGGGCGTGAGAAGTGTTCGTTTCCAGGTCAGGATGTGACTCTGTCCTTTAGCTAGGAAGCCCGTCGGGTGAGATATGCCCTGCGTTGCCAGTACACCCCTAGCACGGTCAGCAAGGGAGATCTGGAGTCCATCGGAAAAGAAAAATCTCCCCTAAGCCCTTAATTCAAGTTTTTAGAACTGATTACAGTCCCATTTACAATGGAGATGTTACGGTCCATGGATTAAAACAAACAGCTAATTCCAGCCATGCAGCATGTTATATTTCTGTGATAACAGCTAATAATTAAAGTACCATTATGGCCGATTCTCAGTAGGCAGGTGATGGAAAAAATTCCATGGTGTGGCTCTACTGACTTTATAATTGCAAATAATTAGTTTCTCTGTTAAAAGAGCTCTTTAGCACGAAGCGGATGGTTCTCAGTTATACAGATTTTCGAGTTACATAACAAACATTAATCACATAGTGCCTCTAACTCGCACGCGTTTACGAAGCTTCCTTAACGTGAGCAGTCTTGTTTGCATCTCTCAGTTCTGGATTGGAAAAGGTGAAAGAAATACTGAAATGGCAGAAAATTAAGCCAAGTTTACGCCATCCAGTGCAGGATTCCTGCAGTGATGAAATCGGCATTGAATGCCACGGCTACAGAGGGGCACAGAACTGCGAAGCGCTCCACGTGTCACTGGCAGAAGGGCAGTCTGTACCATTTTCAAACCAAACCTGAAAGAATTTTGGGTTTGCCAGTGGTATGATTTCAGATTTACATCACTAAAGCACACCGTATTTTATTCTTTAGCATACTGACTGTACTTGGCCAGGTTTTATACCCCATTTATTTTTTCCCAACAGTGCAAAATGAGAGAGCAACACACATTCCTGTGTGTGTCTTCATTTATGCCGATGAGCAGCGACAGGGACGGCTGTTCAGATGAGTAACTGCTCACCCCTGCGTGTAACTAGTTTGCCACTAATGCTTCAATAAATTTTCCAATATAATATAATATAATATAAT